AGGAACAGTGGTGCCTACAGGATTTGATCTGTTTCTGCTCATACAGACAGCAACTTTCAGCAGATGGAGGTGGTGGGCAATAAATTTCAAATCGCTGGTACAGCAACTGGCAACCTTTTCTTTTAACAGCCTTGATTTTCTGCATTACTTAAACTCTTAATCTTTCTTTTTCCTTATTTTTTTTTTTATTTTTGGCATCTGTTAAACTAAAGAGAAGTAGATCTGGAGGGTAATGGAGTGAAATTATTAGCCTTTTAGAATCAGATGATAATTAAGGAAACTTGAGAAGATCACTAACTATAAATAATGCCAGTGAAAATAAATTTGCTAATTCTTATTTATATTATGGCTGCTTTTGGACCCCTTTGTACTCTTTGAGGCCATAAGATCTTTAAAGTCCATAACAGAAATGAGAGAATGGGCCTTTTAAATAGTTTTAATTAAGCAGCTTAACCAGCTTAATTAAAACTTTTCAAGTGTGGTGGTGTTTTCCTAATGGTAGTGATTTGTTCAGTCATTTTTCCTATGCGTTTGCCATCCTGGGGAAAGCTGAGCCACTTGAGCACACCAAGACGGCAGAGAGAAATAATTTCTGCAGAGAAGAGGATCTGCTAATTTGTAATATGTCAGTGACAGCTGAAATGTGCCAGTCAATGGATTGTCTTGTGTAATGGAGGACACTGCAATGTTACAGCATTTGCTGGAATGTAGAGACACCCCATAACATGTGTTTTATTTCTGCTTCATCTCATTACAGATGCTAAAATAAGCACTAACATGTTTTATGCAGCAGAAAAGTAATCTTTGATTTTTATTCTGCCTCTAGCTGGGTTCAGCTATGTTTTGTGCAGTGCAGGAATGTTGTGAGTTGCTGGTTTTGGTCATTTCTCTTTGGGTCTCTCTTGCTGGCCACTGCTGGTGCTTCAGTGGTCCTCATCTGCGCTTGGCTAGTTCAGAATTGGTGCTTAACACTTAGCCTGTAGAGATACTGAGCATTCCAGAGACTGCCTCTTACATCAGCCAGAAACTCTCACTTGTGCTGTTATCTTTCACAGCACCTGTTATTAAAGCCTGTCTTTTCCACTCAGATTTTCTTTGAGCAGTGTAGCAAATAAAAATAATCGGTTGCAGTGGTAACAAAACAGCATGTAGTAGGACCTTGTTCCCTGCAGCCTGGCTCCTGCTGCCCATGGATATATCTTGAATCAGTTTGTTATACCCCTTGCCATGATGCTAAAATTTCTATCGTGCATTTCTGATATTCTGATTACTTTATATGCATAAATTTAGCATATACTCAGTCTCCAATCACAAGCAGCACCACAGGCTCTTTAAATGTTACCCTTGAAAACCTCAGAGTCTCAAAACTTCTTTTTATACTACTGCTGGTGTCTTTGGGAGACATTTATTAGTTAATAAGATACAGGTATCCTGTGTCACCATTACCTAGTTTGGCATTCACTATCTCAAGTCCCTCTCCATCATTCTGTTTACACAGACACAGTAGTTAAGATCATGTATTTCTCTACACGTAGTATTCTTCTAAGTTACAATTTTTAACAAATTTTATCAAATTTTCTACCCAGCCAGACATTTCAGACAGAACTCGGGGAAGTTCTAATAATCGTAGAAAATATTGCCGAAAGGGGTCTTGGTGAAATATGCATCCAGCGTGGGGTTTAATTTCCTTGCAAAGGCTTGTCATGTCTGCGATATGTGACACCTCAAAATTAATTTTCTGCTTATCATTCCCCATCATATGTTTGTGTGGTGGGTTATTCCTGTCCGTGTGTGGCACTGCCTGCATTCCTACACTGAAATGCATCTTTTTAAGAACATTTCTCATTTTATTGTTCCATAAGTTAATCTCTAATTATAATCCCACCCTCCAAAGTTGTCACCTGTAAATTTAACCATTATCCAAACAAATAATTATAACCTGTTTACTAATTCAGAGCCAGAATAGGCCTGAGAGGTCCTTCTGATAGAAATAATGCCCTGCCTCTGTTTCTATTTTTAGAAATTCTCTTTATAGGCATATGCAGTTTCTCCATTCTCCCAAAATCTTTTTTGCTCTCCTGTTGGTATGCATGCTGGATGCCTCCTATCTCATCTGGAATAGATCCTGGCACTGCCCAAAAGTATAGATTTTTCCTGTGAAGTCCTTGAATTTTTCAAGTTTTTCTTATTATTCCGTTCTACAGTCTTCCTTTCCAGGCAGTCATATGCTCATCATTTCCTAAAATGATGGGAAAAATTAGATTGGATAGGACCTTCTGATTTATTCAATACCTCTCCCATTTTCAAAGCAAGGCTGATTTCAAAGTTAGACCAGACTGACTGGGGTCTTGCTCCATCAAGTTCTGAGACTCTCCAAGGTGGAGGCTTCCACAGCCTCCCTGGATGACCTGTTCCAGTGCTTAACCATGCTTGTGATGAGAAGCATTCTTCCTTAAGTAAAAGAGAATAAATATTACCTCATTGCAACTTGTGCTTTCACTGTGTGCCTCTTGGAAAAGCCTGGCTCTGCCTTCCCCCGTAGCTGCTGTGAGACTGCTGTTGGATTTCCACCTGCCTTGCTTTCTTGTCTCCATTTATCATCCCTCTTTCCATAGCCTGTCTGGTGTTCCAGCCCTCTTACTATAACTGCTCTCTGCAGTCATTATTGTTGCTAAACTCACATCTTGTTTCTAATCTAAAGGGTTAACTTGACTGAGAATATAAAGTGAAATGATCCTCCTGCCCTTTACTTTTTTTTTGTAAATATGTTTTCCTCCACTCATCCTGCATTTTTTCACCTGATGTAGAGTTGGTATTTTAGATAAAAATGAGCTCTGAGAGTTCCTGTTTTCACTACTTATTTGTTTGGAGAATTCATTGCATTTTGCTGCTTTTCATACTGAGAATGTTATTTCCCTAAGAAAACTGAGCTTCATGGCACCCTTTCAGGATAGAGCACAGCTGTCTGATCTTATCCAGGCCTGACAGATGCCTACACTTCTCACCAAGCCCCATTCTGTTACTGAAAGAATTACCTGTTTCTGTAATCTCTGCATTTAAAAATGATCTGCATACATATGCTTGGAAAGTAGGGTTTATTTTAATAATGTGAAGGAAAGACAATCAGATGTTAGAGAGAGATGTCATAGCAAGTAGAATTACTTTTATCACTTACTTGTTTCATCACCCATTTCAAGTGTAATGTCTTATTTATATTGGTTTCTCCTTTGGAAGACCACATAGCAATTTCCAAATGTTTAATTAAAACCTCACAACACTACTGTGAAGTGAATGTAGTAAATGAACAAGAGAAGATAAGGCTTTTCTAAAGCAACTTGTGTTTTAAGTAAGTGTTTTGTTACATGAGCATTTTGTCTGTCACCAGAACAGGGGACAATTTCTTTGGTGCATCACAGTTTACTTGTATCAAGATGTCAAAACCTTTCAAGGAGCTAGATATCTGTAGGGTTTTTCTGGAGAGGTTGTTTATTTGTTTTGTTGTGTTAACATAAATCATAACCCTCGCCTGGTTTCAGAAGGGGTCTACAAAAAGTTCCAGTGACCCAGTTCCACAGCTGAGGGGTCAGGAATGAGAAGCTGGAGGAAGGACTGCCTTTACTTGGCCTTCTCCTGGGGAAAATGCATGCATATATCCATCCTGATTTTCCATATGGTGTAATTTAGGTACCTAATTGTAGCACAGCAATTCATGAGGACATTTCTTGGTTGTCTAAATGATGGTAAATATTTAAATAATCCTTAAAACAACAACAGCACTTGCCCAGCTCATGCCCAGTTGCACCACAGTTCTTGCAGATCCAAGATATCAACTTCTCACCAGAGGCTGCTTGGGAGTCTCAGAGCAGGCACCAAATTCACCTCGTATGCACTCCTGGCAGGCAAATGAGGGAGGGTTATGATCATTAGAGCATTTGTAAGGGTAAGAGTTGACCTGGACTTGAACCAGGATTCTTCTTGGCATCACAGAATATCCTCTGTGGTGGGCTACTGCTTACTCTTCTTTATCCATGCCTTCTCTTTATCCTCCCTCTCCTGAGAAAGCCTGTATTCATTGCTGTACAACTTCAGAAATGGGATGAATCTTCAAGGATTCTGAAACTTTGTATTATGTTGTAATAGCTAAAGGATATCACTTGAAATGAGACACTGGGCTGCCTGGCTATGCATGTATATCCAAATTTTGAAAAAGTTTTTGAAGAAATACATTCACAGCAGCCAGTTCAGTTCTTCTTGCTATTAAGTAATGCCCTTTTTTTTCCCCCCTAAACTTTCATAAAACTCTGTGGTATTTTTTATCCCAATAATAGTCTTCTCTTTCTCCTCCACATCCTCATGTTGATTCTTTAGAAACACTTTTCTTCAACCCTCAAAGGATTCCTGGAATAACAGATCTCCCAGATCTTTCACCTTTGCAACACGCTGTTTATTTAGCTATATTATATAAACTTTTTCTCTCTGCCTTGTATTACCCACTAGCTCTTACTATTAATCAAGACATTACTAATCTCTTTTCACAAGTGTTATTTAAACAGTGAGTTTACGTTTTATACATTTTTTTTGGTGGGATTGTCTCAATATAGGGTCTACAGTGCAAGAGGAAAACACAGAAACGTGGCACTGACTGCTCATACTATGGCCTCTTTCACTCATATACTGACTTGTTCACCCTGATGCTGGAAACTGTTGAACTTCCATTGATAAATCAACTCTTCCTTTCTTCTCCCCCCACCGTTCCTCCATCCTTTCCCTTCATCCAGCTCCTCCTGTATTTGGCACTTAGGATGTTGTGCAGGTCCTGAGCAGAGGAACTCACTTGTTCATTTTCCCAAGCTTTCCTTCTGTCCTGCCAATGCACACGGAAGTAGTTACATACACACACAAATATGCTGAAATCTTGTACAGAAAGATTTGAAAAAGGTAAAGAAAAAGATTAAATACTTTTGTCTTAACTGAGAAGGCTACAGAAAAGAGCTACTACCTTCGTGTTTATAGTTTATTGTTCAAATTAGTAACAAAAATACTGTTTCCTTTTGCAAATAAAAGCACATTTTGCAAACAAATACAGATTTTTGTAAAGAAGCAGATTTTTCATGAACGGAAACTTCTGTTTTGTAGAACAGAAATTAAAATAGTAGCTAACATATGAAACTACTCTGACTTACATTACAATTAATTCATAAATAACCGAGAACTATGTTCAAATACTTCTTTAAACTTAAGCAGCAAAATCAAACAACATGATTTATTTATTTTGCTTGATGCTGTTTTCATACTGTGATGTAGCAGACTAAGTACAATGACTTATACAAAGTACTATGCTGGGAATATTTTACCAATCATTTAATAGGATCTGAGACCAAATGGTGTGTATCTCACTGTTTCTGCTTTATTCATGCATCATGTAAATCGAATAGCCAAGTGTTTACAGGAAAACAAAGATGGGATTGGCATCAGGCATTCCTCTGTTCACACATACAGAGCAGAATGCACTTACAAATGAGTCAAAACCCAATGTCTGCAGCAGAACAAGAGGTTGTTCAGCACCTCTGGAAAAACCCACGTCATTCCAATGCCTCGCCACCACCTCAAAATTTTGACTTATATATTTGTGCATGCCATGAATAATCCTGCTCCATGATTAAAAAAATAGAACTGGTAAGACACAAAAACTCATACAGCAAAAATTCAATAAAGCACCTAATGATGATGAGCTCTTTACAAGTGCAATCTGAGCCCTCAATTCATCTGCGTCTCCAGAAATTAAATTATTTTCTCTCGGTTTATAGAAAACCCATTACAGAGTAACAGCTCAATCCTGTATCTTTTTTTTGCTCCTAGGGGTAGAGGAGTTTTACATTATAAATAAATTTCAGCAAAGTTCCGGATCCGTCCCCACTTGTCCCCATTTAAATACGTAGTGTTACATATATATAAAGGTTCCTCAGAGAAATCACTGTTATAATTGTATTGGATAGATAATATCTGTCTATACCATGACTATTTGGGCCACAGTGCTCTGGGGTCTAATTACTGACATGATCAATCAGTGCTACATTATTGAAACCCTGAGAAAGTATTCAAGCCCAGTCGAATTCAACAGTTAATCCTGAGTAAAGGGAGAAGAATTTAATGCTACACTGAGATACATTAAACAGGAGAGAAGGCCAAGTCGTAAGGGCTTGCTCCTGCTTTTGTCACTGAAAAGCATTTTGGATAAACCCTACACAAAACCAGAGAGATAAAATCCCATTTGCAGTACAAACACCAAATTCCTCTAGGATTGTACAAATTATTTATGAGAGTTTCAAGTAATGAGTTTTCAGCTAATAGTGTGGTGCAAAAGTGGACCTCACTTTTTTTATACTCGTTTCCATTAATAACTAAGTATATAGACATTCTACTAAATCCAAATACGATATATTTGCAAAGAAATACACAAAAACCTCTTAGAACTGTAATAAAATCACAACATTTTGAAAACCCGAAATGATTTTATTGTCTTACAAATTTCAAAACTCAGAGCATACTCAAAGCAGAATTTCCCCAAAATTATTTGAAACCGCATTATGTTTTGTCATTTTAGAGTATCATACAGAATGATACAGCTAAATGAATAAATTAGTATTAACTGTATCTGTAAAGAGGTCAAATGCTTTGATTTAATGTGTTCATAAGAGTGTAGGGCCTAACAGTAAGATCAGTTTTAATTATAGAGTAAATGCCTTTTTAAAAGATAAATTTTTTCAAATTAATTAAAAAAAAAGCCAAGAAGATGTCTTTGTGGAAATATATACCCACAGGCCAACACAACATCAAAATTAAAAAGCACTTTGTACAAAACTTGTAAAGAGTTCCAGCTTCATGAATCAATGCCAAAGCAAAACAAAGATCATAATCCTGCAACCATTTAAAGTTCCTTATTAAAAACAAGGTTAATGATAGAAACCTTCTAAAAACAAACAACTCTTCTCAATCTAGGAAAATACAGCATATATTTTTTAATAACTGAATAGATTGATGTGATGTGACTTTGCTTCAGTATTTTTCTTTATTAGGATTCAGAGGAGAAGTTTATTCCAGGTTCTGTAGGTGCAGTAGGGTTTTCCTCATTGTGTCAAAGGAAAGGTGATCAGTGTGTTTTGGGGAGAGGAGAAGGGAAACTAAAACTATGAAGTTGTATGAGCAATATACTAAGATCCTGCCCTTGCCAAGTTCTAAATAGTGAATGCCAGAATTTGCTTTGCACTTATGTAGGGGAAGAAGAGAAAGTTCTATACAGAAAATAAAGTGAACAACACAGTGCTGCTCCTTCAGCCCTCACTTTTGGCTAAAGCAAGGCTGGCCAGGAGCACTGAACAGATGGGATCAGGGGAATAAAAGGCAGACAAGTATTCTCTGCAGCACTTCTCAGAGTGGTACAGTAACTAAGCTTTTAAAAAATAGAGAGTGCCTCCCAATGTGACAAGTTAAGATTAATTAAAGTCTAATTAAGCATATTATAAATAGCTATAAAAACATTGCAAAATAAAACTATCCCTATATTTTTTAAAATCCTGCATTACTGGGGTTTAAGATTCTAGCCTGCTGCTTCGCTGATGTCCAAAACTGAAAACGTAACATGCTTATTTGCTATTTAGAGTTACTCCTGAATATAAATATACAAGTTAATAAACAGAGGGGAGGTAAATGACCTCAGTGATGTTCAGGCACAATTTGGGAAAGACCTGCGTAATGGGTAAAAGCCCTTGGGAAACCCTCCCTACCCCGTGCTTGCCAGGCAGATTTAGGAATATCCCATGCTATATAAAGGACTGGCACGACTCACACTGATAATGAGAAAAGAGCATCGCTTACACTGCTCCACCTTCCCGTCCTGTCCTGGCTACGTCCCGTGCGGATGTGCTGCTGTGCCTGCGCACAGCCACCAGCAGCGCTTTCACTGGAAGTTTTCTGACTTTCTGTGAACACCTTAAAATAATCTTCCAGCATCACTGAGACCTCTCGGGCATGTCAGCTGTCAGTGTCAGGCCCCCTCCCCGGGAACTGGCGTGCAGCTGGAGGAGTGGGAGGCAGCGCTGCGTGCAGCCCAGGCTGGGCTGGAGGCGTAGGGCACAGCGTGTCCATGACAGCTTCCTCTGACAGGGCACACCGTGTGTTTCGAAGTTCAAGTTTCATCATGCGACACAGGTTCAGGAGACATCAGGATCAGGGCTTGGCTGCTTAGGTTTAACGTTTCTCGCGCTAAAATAGCTGCTGCACCAGGTGCAACCCTCCCAGCAGCGTTCGATTTCATTTTGCAAAAAAACACCCTGAACAAACCTCTCACAATGTGAAACAAAGTGCATACAGGCTTGAAAAGTAACTCGTTTAGGACTGTGCTATTTAAATGTAAACATGCAGCATGAGTGTGACGACGTTACCCAGAGCAGTGGTACAGTCAGTGCAGGATTGGTGTGAGAACCTCGGCCGGTTCAGTGCCCGCTCACTGCTGGACCAGCTGGTGGTTTCTCTCCTTCTCGGTGCTGTACAAGGGATAAAAACTCAGATTAGGATGCACCAAGGACGCCACTGATCCCTTTCGTTGTGTCAATCCCAAACTTGCAGGGGATACCCATAACCACCCTCTGCAAAACAGAGCTCCAAGAGGGGCGAAATCCCAAACCTGCGGGGCACACCGATAACTCTGCATAACAGAGCTCCAGGAGAGGCTATCGGAGTCAGCCCTTACCCGCTGCCGCTGCTCGCTGAGGCAGAAGGTGCAGATGGGCCGCGGCGTGGAGCTGCCCGGTGGCGAGCAGGGCTGCGGGGACTCACGGGGCTGCGGGTTCTGCGGGCAGGGCTGCTCAGCGTCCACCCCCTCGTCGTGCCGGCGCTGCTGCAGCAGCAGCACGTTGGCCAGGTGCGAGATGTAGCTGGCCGCCAGGCGCAGCGTCTCCACCTTGGACAGGCGGCGGTCGGCGGGCCGGGTGGGGATGAGCCTGCGGAGGGCGCCGAAGGCCGAGTTGACGCTGTGTGTGCGGTGCCGCTCCCGCGCGTTCGCCGCCGCCCTCCGCCCCCCGCCACCGCCGCCCCGCGCCCGCCGCCGCCGCCCGCAGCCCCCCGCGGGTCCCCGCGCCTGCCCCGCGCCCGCCGCGCCCCCGCCGCCCCGCATCGCGCCCGCCGCCGCCCCGCCGCGGCATCACTTTTATGCGCGGCAGGTGCCGCATCGCCCCTGCTCGCCCCGCGCCCCGCCGGCCGCGCTTGGCCGCTGCTCCCGGCCGGGGGCCGCCGCCGCACCTGTCGCGGCTCCTGCGCTCGGCAGCGGCTCCCGCGGGAAACCCCCCGCTCCTCCCCTCCCGCCCAGGGCGGAGCGCGGGGTGACGGCGAGCTGTGCCGGCCCCGGGGGACTCGTCTGCCCGGTGCCCTCCAGGCCGGGCGGCTCCCGCATCCACCGGTGCGACCGACTCTGGTCTCCTCGCAGGGTGTACAAACATCTGCGGGTTTTACCCGTTCTGCGCCTCCCCTCCGTGCGCTGTGGCCGCCGTGCGAATGTAAATATTTGTGTATATCACAGAATCACGGATTCGCTTAGGCTGGAAAAGACCTCTGAGATCATCGAGTCCAACCCCTGACCTTGTCAACTATACACAGTAACTCTATGAAATTAGTCAAAAGTGGGTTTTAATTGTATGTTTAGTGCACACTGAGTTCCCGCTACTGCGTTTTCACCAACCACCTCATCCATGCAGTGCTGGAGAAGCTTGCAGGGCTTCCATAAGAACCCCAGGTAATCAGAGACTCATTTAGGTTGGAAAAGACCTCTGGGATCACCAAATTCAACCTATGACTGAACACCACCATGTCAACCACACCATGGCATTAAGCACCATGTTTGACTGTTTCTTGAACACCTCCACTGGTGGTGACTCCACCTCCCTGGGCAGCCCTTTCCAATGCTTGACAACCCTTTGTGTGAAAAAATTCGTCCTGATGTCCAACATGAACCTCAAAGCTATGTTCCCCCTGTCTTGTCCCTAGTTGCCTGGGAGAAGAGGCTGATGCCCACCTTGCTACAGCCTCCCTTCAGGTTATATTTTGGCTGGAGTGGACTAATAGAACAAGATTTCATCGCCTTCTCCAGCCAGCACTAGACACACATACAAATCCAATTTCTCATTCTGTTCAGAAGATGTGCCTGCCTCAACCATTCGCTTATTAAAAGGTCATCATAAGCACTAGTTGATTACACCTCTTTTCTCCATAAAAATTTGACATCCTGTCTGAGCTCAGAGACTCATGAAAGGTCATGGCGCAGGGTTTCTCAAATGAATCATCTCTACCTGATTAAGCAGCCTCAACTGACTCTTTTTTTATGGTCCTGGAAGCTTATTTGTGGTGGTGTTCTCAAATCAAGACTGGATTAGCAGAGTCATATCTCTCTGATCATGGATGCACACACACAGGGTAGACAGCTGCTTTGATATGTTTGGCTGGGAGTCATGCCCTCTCAAAATACAGCTGGTACCAACAAGCAGGGCTACATCTCTGCAGTGCATTCCTTTGCCAGAATGGCAAAGTGCTGGTTTATGCTTGTTGCACTCTCCCTTTGGACAGAGGTTGCAGGAAAAAATGGACAAACAGCTCTGTCAGACAGTTGCAGTGGTACTGTACCTTGGCAGTATGAACCACTTCTTTAGTGCAATTTTTAGATAAATTACTCGGGAGAAAGAGGGGAAAAGGTTTTTGATTTACCATCAAATGATGCTTGTAAGATTTTTGTGATTTCCATGGGAAAATATTGATGCAATAAACTTAACTTGAAGTTGAGGTATTTGATAGCAAAGGCTGGAGAAATATGAGGCTGGATAGGCAGGTGTGAGCCATGCCACTGATCCAAAGGAGTTCCTTGGGGGTGAAGAGCAGGATGGTGCCCTTCATCACCAGAGGCTGCTACTGGTATTATCGAAGTCACAATTTATGGCTTATTGATAAACCAAGAATGGAAAAAGGAATAAGTGATATTCAGGAAGAAAATTATGCCATGTCTGCAAAGAAAAGCAGAAGGATTTTCAGTGACATTACAGCAGTAGTTAATGCAGGGGTTAAGGACAAAGGGGTGGCCAAATGATGCTTGTTCTCTTTCCAAAGAGAAAAAGTAAAGCAAGAAACTTTTTTTTTTTTTTTTTTTTTGGTCAGATAAGGAGTCTTGTAATAAGGTCAAAATGCTGGTGACTTTAATTACTAGGTTATTGATTGGGATAACATTTATGCAAGTGCTAGAGGGAGCATATTCCTCAAGGAAGGTGCAATAGTGCAGCATTGCTGTTATTTTACAATTTGCTGAATTGCTAATAGCAAGCAAGAATGGGGCTGCGTGAATGTAAAGCAGAAGACTGGGCAGTATTTCATTTGCAGTGATAAGGTTTCGCCTGAAATTTGCCTTCGTGCTACACAGAGAAAGTTATCTGATATCCATTGTAAGGAAGCATTCAACAATATTCAAAAGACTGGAAATATGAAGTCTCTCACTGATTAGTTGCAGTCTAGTGGCTGGTATTTCTTTAATTTGCCTTTATTTTTTGAAGAATAGTGTTAATAGGAAATAAAAAAAAGAATTTTGAAGGAAGCTATTTGGAAAAGCTATACATGCGAAGGGAGCAAGTTATTTAGAGGATAACAAAAGAAACAAATCTAAATTAGTAGTGCAGAATGCCTATGGTCATGGCAAAGAAACCTTGCAAATGTATTTCCATTAAATAGAAAATAAAACACAAAATCGTTTCACTTTTTTTTAAAAAAAAAAGATATTTAGAGACAAAATGCCTTTAGAAAGCAGTACTTGAAAGTTTCTAGCATTCTCCACCTGCAAGTCACATTGACTTCAGTTAGACACTTGTTTACTCAAGAGCAGAAATGTGGTGTTATCCTATAGCTAACACCATTATTATTTTTTTTGCAGAGCTGTTCATATTTTTTTGTCTCACACTCTGGTGCTTCTTGCCACATGTGTTTTTTTTGAAGGACTATGCTCTCTGTTGCTTGTCTTCTCCATTAAAGTCATTACACATGCATATATATTTTTATTTCCGTATACAATATTGCTCACACACACGAGAAGGTATGTATATGTTGTAGGCAAAAGCAGCACAGATCTCTGGTATGGATTTCCAAGCCACTGACTGTCTAAAGACCTCCTAGTTTGTGTTTTGGCTTGGGCAAATATCACCATGGCAACCATTCCAAACACAGGTCAGCCATCCACTCTTGGGGGTGCTTCCAGGGGCTGCCAGGCTCCTGTGCTCATAGTGAGAGGAATAGTGACCAGCCCTGAATTTTGGTGGTGTTGTGAGCGCACTTGGGAGCTGTTTGCCCTTGCGAAGGGGCACCAGGCACCCAAATTATGCAGTCTTGTCTGGAGTAACCTACGGTGTTCCTGTTCACTGCCTAAAGCTTTCTCATGATTGGAAGTGTAGGGGCAGGCACAGATCTCTTCTCTCTGGTGACCAGCAATAAGACCTGGGGGGAATAGCATGAAGCTGTGTCAGGGAGGGTTAGCTTGGATGTTAGGAAAAGAACATGCTCAGATATGTGGAGGGATCCTTGGGGTGTCCTGTGCAGGGCCAGGAGTTGGACTTGATTATCCCTTCCAACTGAGGATGTCCATGGTTCTATGTATGTGTTAGTAACCGGGATACACTCTATATTTCAATCTCACTTGACAGATTCAAGGGAGAGTCCAGAGGGATCTAACAAAGAGAAACAAATAAAGGATGCTGATGGCTGGAAAGGTCCACACAGCTGAAAATAATATATTTGACAAAATGTTATCCATTATGTGCCTGTCTGGGACTTTGGCTGGTGTGACAACTGCTTCTGTCCTTCACAAACCTGGATGATGGAGTTGTCATTTTTATTGCAGTTCTTAATAAATGTGACAGTCATAAAATACCTGTTGATTGAAGAATGTTTTAAATGGCATTTTACCCTATACAGGTTCTGTAAGAGAATAATTTTAAAGAGAGAAGATTGAGGAGTAATGAAAATGTGGAATGGTACAAGAAAGTTTTTTGGAGAAGGGGGGCTTGGGCAGAGCATGTTAGATGAGGAAGGGTTAATCATGAGGTGGATTTAAAGCTTCATGTGTTAAAGTCCTGTCAGGTGTGATGGTGAACCTTCTGGATTGTAATAAATATCCTCCACACGTTCTGAACTATCAGTCTCCTACTGTAGTGCAGGTTCCCAGGTAGGGGAGGAGCAGGACAAGCTCTGCACTGCTGATAGTTGATTAATGTGAGATCTAACAAGTCCCTTCTTGATATTCTAGCCAGCCAGATTTAGCATGACACTTATCTCTTCACTTGCAATCTCTTCACTTACAATCTCTGTTCTTCATCTGAATTGATCTGTGCCATGATTCCCCAGTGTCTTAATGAGTTTTCTGTGTGGTGGAGTTCTAGAGGCCTTGTTAAACTCCAGAGACATCCTTCCTACTGCATTTTATTTATACAGCCACTCTGTTACTCTTGACAAAAAGAAGCTGAGTTGTTTATCTTATGTTTTTCTCACAAAATCTGTCTTACAGTAATTTTCTCTGCTTTGGCTGCCCACAGAGGCAAATCCAAATATATTATTCACCTGTTATTTCAAAACCATTTAAACTTGCCAAATCTAAGTGGTGTTTTACATGATTCTGCTGATACTCTCAAAGTTGTTATTAACTGCCTTGCAAGTAATTTTTGACTGTGGTTGCATTCAGCAGAGCGATGACAAGGCATGTTCTTTTCTCTGTTGAATTGAAGTGATATGAGGACAGTATATACCTGTCCTTGGAAACAAAACTTTTTGCAAGTGGTGTTTCTGAAGGGTTTTTTTGTTCATTAAAGCTTCCAGAGCCTTCCTTTACCTGCTACCTTATTTCACTGCTTTTTAAATCCATCCTAACTGAGCTTGATTGGTGTTTGGGAAGATGTTGTCTACAACATTCAGCTGTTGTGCATGGTTTAGGGTCTGAGATCCTTCACCAATCCAGTTTGTGCAATGTTTTACTATTCCACATTCTGTGTTTTTGCCTTTTCACAGGCTAAGGGTTGCTAGGTCTGTTTTGCAATGTCTTATGATCCAGGCTTACTGGCTTGTGGAGAATCTAGCTTCCTGGAGTTTTTCTAGGTCGCTGAGAAGTATAAGAGTAGAATGTATAGTATTAAATAGGCGTCAGATTTTTACACAGACCCATTTTTGTTTGGTTTTTTTGGCTGTTGGTTTGATTTTTGGTTTTGTTTGGTGGTTTTTTTTTTTTAGTAAGGGTGGAATGCTGCTGTAGAAACGCAACTGAATTTTAGTTATAAAAAATGCTGTAATAATGAACATGAACATGAGATGTAGAATCATCCACTTGTGTGGAGCAACTATTGCAAACACTTCAAAATGCTTACTGTGGTTTGATTTGTTCCATCTTCCTCTCCCAGTGATAACTAGATCTGCCAAAAAAAGCTTT